ACAATGGCTCATTGAGCAGCTGTCAGCTTGACTGTTTACTAGAAATTAAAGCTGGTTATTGAAACTCAGCTCTTCTTTGCAAAGTGTGTGTGCAAAAATGTGCCCAAAGCAACAATCAACAATGATAACGGCAGAGTAGAAACTATTTGTCAGTTGAGATAAAAAAATTAATTTGCTTTTCAAGTAAAGCTGCCAAACATTAACAGTTTAGGATTTGTGAGGACCTCGGTTTTCTTTAATGTTGTTAATGAGAATATGATTGGATTTTGGACGGGCTGCAAGGTGGCTCGGTGGTTAGCATCGTTACATGTTATCCCCGTGCAGCGTGGGTTCTCTCCGGGTTCTCCGGCTTCCTCCCACACAGTCCAAAAAACATGTTGAGGTTAATTGGTGATTCTAAATTGTCCGTAGGTGTGAATGTGAGTGTGCTTGGTTGTCTGTCTCTAAGTGTAGCCCTGTGATAGACTGGTGACCTGTCCAGGGTGTCTCCTGCCTTCACCCTGAGTCAGCTGGGATAGACTCCAGCCCCCCGTGACCCAAGTGAGGATTAAGCGCTGTATAGATAATGGATGGATGAATTTTGGACACAAAACAAGAAATCTAAACATATCAGCTTCAGAACTCTTCGGATTCGTTGGGTTTCTCTCTGTAATATAACTTTATGAGGTCTTTACTATTCCAGCTGCCTTAAGATGAGTGTGAATGAATAAAAACCTGAATTGAACTGAACTCAAACAGTCGTGCACAGTTTTACTTTTACATTATAATCTGAGCAGCAAATGATTCACTGAGATGTAAGCGATGCATCATTTAGAAGTCAGACGTCTGGTCCGCGTTATGTTTTGTAATTCTGTGAATAAAGAGCTTACTAAATTTAAATCTAAAGTCCTGTTTTATTTATGGGAAGTTCCTATGTTGAAACGCTTTGAACGTTATTAAAGAACACCAAGAGTTTGTGAAAGACATGTACTTCCTTAAAGTAATGAAGCTTTTTTTCACAGCAGACAGGTTCACTTTTGGCAGCAGTTAAACGTGTCGGTAAGCCGTGCACATGCGGTGAACACACAATACTAAGAAAGTAATGTAACTGTCCTCCAGTAAGAAAAGAAGTTGTTGTCACTGATATGCTTCAACTCTTTCTGTACTATATGAAGACTTTGGCTGACACTGGTATCACGGCCGTGGCGCTGCAGTGACAGTATTCCAGCGTGTCTTGTATCGATAAGTAATGATTTTACATTTTCCTTTGACGACCTTTTTTTGGTGTGTGCTCGATGCGGTGTTTGTTCAGCTTGTGTCTGTTTTGCTTTCTTCCTTTTCGCTGCTCCTGAGAAGCATTTTGACCTCAGACGGAGTTGTGGTTGAACCGACTGTTCATTTTGATTGCGAGCATCATGTGAGCTTCACTGTAATGAACATGCAGCTGCAGAGTCAACCAGAGATATAAAAATAAAAACGTAGCAAAGTATGCAATAAAAATGCCCAATGTGCAGCTTACAGTAACAGAAATAACAAGAAAAACATTTCCATTAGGTACTAAGATCAAGATATAAAGATCAAAGTGCTGTTAAGTTAGAGTTGAAGACTTCATTTACAAAAACAGATAACTCCATTTTTTTTCAGAAGGCGTTTTTTTTTTTTGCTGTTGGCGTGTGATAATATCAATCAAACTGAAGTTGAGTGGATTTGACTCAGTGGAAATGACAAAAATCGAGATAACTGAAGTCTGATTGATGTTGTCTCAGGTAGACGATAGAGAAGTGGGTTTTCTGAACGTTTGTGAACATGGAGTTATCTGTTTTTGCAAATGAACTCTTCAAAGTGTGGCTTAGTAAACTTGTACTTGCCATCACTTTATTGCGCTTCGTGGCTTCATTTTTTTACATTCTGCTTTCACTGTCTGTGCAAAATAAAAATGTTCTTTGATCGTTTCCAGGAACTAGTTCTGATAGTGCAGCAGCACGCAAAGGCGCTCAGTAATTTTTTGATGTGAACGCTTTGCACACAAGTAACCTACTTCTTAAGTCTGATAGCATCTGCTTTCTCTTCCTGCCCCTGAAAGATGATTTTTTTGCTATGTTGGCACAAATCTGCCAGCCGGGCCTGCTTGCTGTTGCTTCTCTTTAAGTCCATTTGTTGACACAAGCACATGATTTGTATTTATGGTCTGCTGCGAAGTGATATTTATTGTAGGAAATGCTCGACATATTTTCTAGTGTCAGCTTGTGCTAGATGTGGAGCGAACTGCAAGAAGACAAAATGGAAGTGAAGAAAGTGTAGGTGCTGTGGTTAAATGTGTGTGTGTGTGGACGTGACTTGCGGTGACATCCCTCAGCGACCAGCCTTACTGTTGCGGTTATCACTTCTTTTAAAGCCTCTGCTGCCATCTGTGATTTCACTGCTCGTCTCTCAACTTGTTCTCAAGCGCTGTTCATGTGTTTGTTGGTGCGGTTGTTATCATGTGTACGCACGTAAACGGTAGTTCACAAAGGAAACGAAACTGAAATGTACATTTTTTTCTGAAGCTGTATGATAACAGAGTTGACTCATACATGTGAGGGTGTGTTCAGTAGCTCATCTGAAAAGATTTGCTGAAACTTGCCAACTCAAGTCAAGTTTCAAACCACATAAATCCCAAACACTGCCTGTTTTACTTTATTTTCTGTGCCTTTTATCGTCTTTTCATGAAAATACTGCATGAATAATTTAAATAAAACAGTGTTTGTACGGTCTAAGCTGGAATAATCATCAAACACTCTGAACCCTAACAGCCATCGGTGGGTCTGAAAGGCACGTCGTCTTCAAATATCAAAGTCAGAAAGAATCATCAGTGGTCCATCTTTCGAACGGTTCTTGAACTCGTCACCTGCCGTGTGCCGTTCCACTGGAGGCCACATATAGTTGATTTGAGCGCTTTGACTTGGACAAACTATAAATTCATGAGAAAAGATTTTAATCTTGGACCTGATCTGTAGCTACTAAAACACTGCTGCAGCGTAAGTCGCATTGGTGCATCCTTTTCCTTTTTACACATTCAGTTTGGATTAAAACAAACACCTAAAAATACATTTAAATTCACTGACAAATGCCTCTGACTGTCGCTGCATCTGATGTGCCGGAGCTTTGTAGCACCATTTGTGTTTAGTCATTTTATAAGTGTGGGTGTTTAGTTTTCTTCTGTACTCAGCGACATCTTGATGTAACTTTTCCGGCACTTGCTTTTGTTTAACTCTTGCTGCCATTGAGTTTTCCTTCCTCATTGTTCAGTCCTCTGAACACTGAAACCCACCGGCAGGTTTGAAAAGCATGTCGTCTCCCAAAAAATTATCCAAATTACACCGGTTATCAGAGGCAGAAACTGAAAGAACCGTCAAGATTTTCAACTTTCCCGTCGTTCGCTTCCATCATGGAAACCAAATTTGGTGTTCCAGCAAAATCCCTTTTGCGTCAGATTCTGTAAAAAAAACAAAAACCAAATTGTGCAAACCGTGCAATCTTGAAATCTATATTGACTTGGGTGACTCACAGTCACATGACCGAAACTCAAGGACGTGTTGTCTCAAGGCTGCACTGTATTTACTGGAGCAGATAGGAGACAATACAGAAAAAAAGAGTGACCAATGTAGTATTTAGAGTCACCGTTTTTTCTGGTATTGGCAACACAGGGAGAAAATGTGGCATTTTTTTTGTCAAATAGATTGATTTACCTTTTTCTTCCTTTTTTCAAGATTCTTGGCTTAATACCTGTGTTCTACCACAACATATTTTTGAATTCCTGTGACTTGTAGTCATGGTTGTGCTGTTTCCAAAGAGGTGCAAGACTTTATATTCCAGTGAAAAATGAGCCCACAGAGGCTTGAATCATCCACCTCTTTTACGTCATCACAGAAATGAACAGGCAGCTGGTTTTAGGTGCTTCGATGCATTATTGTGTGCGTGTCTACTGAAAAGCTTTCTAGCCTCGATGAAGGACGAGCAAACAAGGAACAACAAAACAAATTCAAGCTTCATTCATTCATTTAGCTCTGTTGTGACACGAAGCTGAAAGAAGCAGTTGAAGCTCGTTGAAGGATTTCTATTGGTTCCAAAAAGAAGGAAACTCAAATCAAGTGTGGGATTCAGTGGCGTGCGTCTGTCCATTTGTGTTTGTAGACACAACAACGGCACTTCTGTGCAGCATGTGTGCTTCCTGTAACGGGTACAGTGTCATGCTTCAGTAAACATGAACTGGAGAAAAAGCAAGTATCTGTAATGCTGATCAGACCAGCTATTAAAATAATTAGATCCTCTTGAAAGGCTTCAGATTAGGTTAAGGTTGTAGTGAAGACAAGAGTTTCAAAAAAAAAGGAAAACGCTCAATGTTCTCTGTGCTCGGCCTTCACAGCTTTGGATTAGAGGAAGTGTGTGCACTGAAAAGAATGTTATGAAGGAAGTGTGTGCCCCCCCTTCAGTTTGTCATTACACAAAGGGTGTGGTTGATAACATTTTGCTTCCAGTTCAGCGACTGACACTGCAGATCTATTCATTGTTTCCTCAGTACCATGTGTACAAAGATTTACGTGTTTATGTGCTTTGTTTGCAAAACGTCTCCTGACATGTTGCATTTGGTTTACACTTGTGTTCCTTTGCCTGTGAGGAAAACACAAAGACTCACTGAAAGCGGTAGTTTTGAGCATTGCTTGTCACACGGTGCCCTCTAGTGGTACATTTGTGGTACTAAAGTCACCAGAGTCGCTGAATTTTGCAGTCTGTTATTGACCACATTGTTCCTGGAAGCTTTTCTGTACGCAGATGGGTAAATTGATGGAGTTGTCAAACTGTTGCTTTCTTAACAACAAACTTCTCATCGATATTCTGGGAGGAGCACACTGAGTCCGTTTTTGTAGGGGAATGATGTAGCGTGACAGTTTGGGGGTCTGATATTAATGTTGTGGATTAAATTTTGTGTTTCATTGTCAAATTCCTCAAAATGTCTGACATCTATGTCTCTGTTTCCACAGTGGAGCCGCCGGCCAACGTGACCCTGTACTGCCACAATCTGACCAACAAACTGATGTGGGATTACAACCAACTCACACCGGGGCTTAAATTCCATGTGCACATCCAACCATATGATGGGTTTGTGTTTCACTTTGTACAACACATCACCAATCAGTCGAATGTTTCAGAACCATTTTTTCAAGATGTTCTCTGCTTTAAACTGCATAAACCAGGCAACACGCTGCATGTGGCTCTTTCATCCCTCTGCTGCACCACCTTGTGGCTTCAGACAATAAATAAAGAGTATTTAATTTAAAGTTTGTTGTTTTTTAATGTAATTCTAAATTTGAAGATTATGGTGATTTTGTAACATTAAAATGAAACGTGTTTAATTTTTTGTCGCTCAAAATATGCGTCACAACCGTCGATGTGCGACGATGTTGCCAACTT